ATAGAAAATAACATTGAATAATGATAACTACATAAAAGTAACAAAATAATACATATGCAGCCTGCATAAGGAGATACAAGTGTTAACCACGGACAAAATACAGTGTCAAGCAAACTAAGTGTTTTATTTCACAGGCAACATTTAATTATGCAAATAAATTAAATGAAAATTATAGTGAAATTAAAATATAGAGATAAAACCAAATTTAGATGCTATTGTTTTCCCAATATACATATATTTTTTAATTATTGCAATATTTGTAAGAGCACTGCTGCAATGTTGCATGTGAATATCACTTCACAGTGCATTTAAAAGCAATATAAAACCGACCTTTACATAAGAGTTCTTAAGATTGTCTATATTCTTCATTTTAACTTTCCCACTGTTGTGGTCACTTTCCAGAATAACTGAGCACTGCATATCCACTTGATAGGGAAAACATTACATTAGTATAACTATTTAACTAATTGTTTTATTATTTTGCAACTAATGGCTGTTCCTTTATTACAAACTGGAGTTTATCAGTTGTTTTGTAAACAAACAAGTTTGGTAATTAAAATCTTCAATTTAAATGTGACGTTTATCTTAATTATCTAGTTAATTAGGTTAGAATATAGTTCATATGATTTTTGAATGTGTACAAAAATAATACAGTGCAATCTGTTTAAATATGGCTAAATTAGAACCTATGTTAACATTATCTACAACAAACAGACAACAATAATCATGATACATTTCACATTTAAAATCATAATTTCATACATTAATGTTTATTTTTTTACTCCAATGAAAGCACAAATAATTGTTTTAGCATCAATTTGAGGGTACCTAAATTGACTTTTTTGTATTAGCTCTTCTATAAAATATACAGGAAACATTCTGGAAAATCTAAACTAAAAAAATGTGATAGATTGAACTAGCTTTAAAAGCACACATTAAAGATGAAAAATGTATATAAAATGGAATCTTACCTATCTTAGGAGTATCAGATGATGAAATGCGGAGTATAGTGCGGCTCTCTCGTGGTGGCAGGCCGACAGGCGTACGCCTGGCTCCCTCTTTTATGTTTACGCATCCTGCCTGCTATAGTCTCTAACGTTTTCAAACAACAATATCATATTCTTAAATCGTGTATCCATTTTCATTTGCCGTGTAGTTTTTTATCGATCCTTCGGGATGCGTCTTTCCTAATAATACATTCTCAATTTCTTTGGCCTATTCTTTGCTAATTTCCAGTCGTGTAAAAGGCGGCGATCTTCAAGTTTAGTTGATTGTATGCAATTGCATTGTCACTAGCTTACGACGAATGACGCACTTCGTGCACCCCTTTATTTCTGTAAAGGAAAGTTTATTTATCTATAATGTAATCACGTGTTGTTTTGTTTCGCAGTACACTATGACTTGCAAGGGCACAAAGAAAATCGTGAAAACCAAACCCGCCCCACCAAGCTAAATGGGTCGATGGCGCCAAATAAACGTCACTCAAGCAAGGGAGAAACAAAATTAATGCAGCCTCCACTAAAATACAAATCGATATCTTGTTGAAGATATAAACAATGAAAATTCCTTCAAATACATTAGTCATTTACACCATTTTGCGTTATATAGATGTATATTTAAGACCACAAAACTAAACGATGCAATTTCACAAGAATGAGACACTATTACATGATTCACTTTCACTAAGGACGCTCAATGTACTTCTTACTTCCGTGTTGGCTTTTCCAAAAGCAAACAGAAAATAGTAAAACTCACCCGCAATAGTTTATGTGTGGAAAATATCATGATAAATCTATACACACACACCCCACATGAAAAAAAACATGGCAGCCGCAATGAGTGAGAGTTAAAAATTATAATTTGCGCAACGCCGTCAAAAGACTGAAATGACGTCTGCTTATTGACCAATCACACGCCTTCGATTTTAAAATTATCAAAGATGGCCGTCAGCAAGGCCGTGATTTCATGATTATGCTTTTTATCGTTTGTGATTCGTTCAAAATGTGTGTCTTCGCATTTATTGGTTACAAAAGAAGGGAGATCACCAATCGTGATCTTAAATGAAACCGGATCTTATCTAAATTTCGCGCCAAAAAATACCGCGTTTATTTAAAATTGGAGTTTTTGTTGTTTTATTGACGTACGAGATTATAAGATAGTTTTTTGTAACGTACGTTACAACACCTTTATAGACAAGTTTGCACTAATTTGCCAAAAGTATGTGTTAAATTATGAAACTTTACGCAAAAAAATTGACATAACTTAGTTATAGAATATTTAGCTTTAGAAAATAACAGGTATGATTCACATTAAACTTGCTTCTCCAATTTTGTATTCCTTTTTTAAATTTTGCTGCAGCAAATATTAATTTCTTCACCAATCTATCTCATTCCAGTTAATGAATAAATGAAACTCAAAATAATAGTCTATTCCATGACATCTTTATTCTCTTAAACTTTTCAACACCTCAGCACATCTAGAAGCAATACAATATTTTATTTCGAATTCATCTTATTTTTACAAGATATATGTCATTAACTTTGGGTCATAAGTAACGATAGAAACATAACACAGATAATTTAATTAAAAATTATAAATTGCATTACATGCTGTATACCATTATCTAACTACATATACGTTTTAAAAATGCTTCTCAAATGTTTGAACTAATTCACTGACAAATTTTAAACCTAACCAGAGAAACCTTATCATTGATCTCTATAGATGGATAGGTCAGTGGAAACTACAGTTTTGATAATTCAGAGATAAACCCTCATATTCATTTCTCACCGTTAATTCTATCTCAATTAGTGCGAACCCTTACAGAAGCGACCGTCATCACTAAGATGACGAAACCATAAATCTCAAATAGCCTATCCATGTATAGAGATCAGTGGATCTTATGCATTATATAAATAAATACAAAGCTTTCTATACGTCGATATATTAATTTAATTTTTATTTACCACAGAACCTAAACTTAAGATAGGCTCTATATAAAAATATTTATACATACAGTATTTTTAAACATTAAGATATCGCCAGTTAAGTTTAAAATAAGCTTAAAAAACCATCAACTTAAACATACCACAAACCAGATAATAATTAAACATAAAAGTTTCAAATGTACTAATACTTTAATTTCGGACTAAATAACCTTATGGCTGAAGTGATCACAGAAATGCAAAAAAAACAAACATAAACCTCCGAAAATTAAAAAAATAAACCATTCACAAAACAGAACAAAGCCCAAAAATGATTAACGTGAATTCGTTCAAAGTTTTACTGAAATATGACAAAAATCATGCTTGTTTTAATAACAAAATAATATAATAATTTCTGAAAATAAAATAAATCTAGTTTTGGCAGTGTAATTTACGGTTATATACACAGAATAAATATTGCAACCCCAAAACGGTAAGTCAAAAAATTATAAAACCGAATTTAAAAAAAAATCCTTTATTACGTATTACGTAAACTATTAAATTATACACAATAAATTATTTTACGTTAGTAACTAGTTCATTTTCAGCCTTAAAAATAAACACATTATAAAGTTAAACTTAGGAATACTGAGTATAAGCAAATATTAGTATTTGCTTCATCATCACCAGCTCACTATACGTCCCCACTGAGGGGCTGGAGCCTACCCTAATAAGGGGTGACTAGGACATAGTCAACCATGCTGACCAAGTGCGGGTTGGTTGACTTCACACATATCTTTGAATTTCTTCGCCGATATGTACAGACATCACGATGTTTTCCTTCACCGTAAGAACGTCGGGTAAATTATGTACATATGAAAATTCGAAAATCACATTGGTACATGGCGGGATTCGAACCCAAGACCTGTAGATTACAAGTCAAGTGCTTAAACCACTGAGCCACCGACGCTCTGTATTTGCTTATACTCAGTTTATTCCTAAGTTTAACTTTATACTGCGTTTATTTGCAAGGCTGTGTGAGTTTATTAAGATAAATGTTTTAATTTTGTTGCATTATATACCCTATTAATTTGATATTCTACGTTAATCATTCTTGGGTAAACAATATTTAATACAAAATTTGTACGAGCGTGGAAAGTGTTATTTACATATTAATAAATGATTTAAGTTTACAAAAGGCTTATTGTCATAAGGTAATTCATAAACATTGAGGTTTTCAAATAAATACGTCTAACTGTGGGTTTCCATTGTCTATACACTTATGAAAACGTATTTCACTTCTCATTCTGTATGAAAAAGAGATGAAATAGCGAATTTCTATATAAGGTTTTGCGACAGTGGAACTTCACGGTACAAACTACTAACAAATTGGTCTAATGTTAATTGTCATTTCCACAATTGAGAGTAAGAAAAATCTCTCATTTTCATAACGTATATTTCAGTATAAATAGCTAAAAGTTGAAAGTATTTAAAAATAGTAAAGAAACATATAATGAATAAGAGGAAATAAAAATTAATTGAAAGCACCTAAAGAATTACAACCTACTAACAGTAGAAAGTAGTAATAAATATTTTATATGAAAATAGATAAATGAAACATTTGCTCTCAAATGTGGAAAAGGCATTAAAGTAAAACATCGAGTTCCGTGCATTAAATTTGCAATGCAAATTAGCAGGAAAGCGTAAACCGAACTAAGATATTACACAAGTACAGTCAGCTTTACAAATGTATACATTTACTAAACTTTAAGAAACTCGTATAAGGATTCTAAAATTATTATACACATTTTTATCAATAGCATGAATTCGTAGACGAAAGCATACAAATAGATTCGCGTAATTATATTTTTAAAAACGTGTATTCAAAGTTTCTGGATCTTTGTAAATATGTACATATTTGTGAAGCTGACTGTACTCGTAATATGCCGCACTCAAAAACATAACAATATTTTGTCATAACTGTGCCGAAAAAAAATGTTCCCATTCAAATAATATACCTATATTAATAAATACTGGATTACGTTTAATTTATATTCTAAGCCCACATACATATCTTTTATTTTCATTCTAACGATACAATTAATAACCACAGATAATAATTTTTCTATTGTGTAGTCAATATTACAAAAGGTAATAAAAATCATATAGTTACGGATTGTTTTAGTACTTTAGTTATGAGTAGACGAAAATAAAATAATTCAAAATATACCTATTTTAAATCTATATAAACTTTTCCCAGGTCCGTGGTATCTGTCTACCCTTTTATGTTAGGGTCGTGAATTTTGTCGTAGTAACAATTTGGAGATGACAATACAATCATCACTTTTTTCACCTAAAATATGAGAGCGACATATTACGTCAGTCAATATTTTGAAAAATACGAAAAGAGTTACAAGTGTTATATTAACTAAAATAACATTAAAATGTGTAACCCTTTTCGTGACACTTCAGAGATGTTTCTTCGTGACATTAGAAATATAATATTTTCGCTACACAATTCAACATGATTTGTGTCACTTTATAGATGTATCTATATTCGTTACATTTTTGAAGATGTGACCTTTTTCGTGACATTTAACACTTTCCTTGACACACTACAGATGTATTCATGACACTTTTTAGATGTATCTGTATTAGTTACATCTTTAAAGATGTGATTTTCCGTGACACACTACAGATGTATTCATGACAATTTTTAGATGTATCTGTATTAGTTACATCTTTAAAGATGTGAACTTTTCCGTGACACACTACAGATGTATTCATGACACTTTTTAGATGTATTTCTATTAATTACATCTTTAAGGATGTAACATTTTCCTTGACACATTACAGATGCACTCATGACACTTTTTAGATGTATCTGTATTCGTTACATTTTAAAGATGCGACGTTTGACGTGACACATTACACATGTATTCATGACACTTTTTAGATGTATCTGTATTCGTTACATCTTTAAAGATGTAACATTTTCCTTGACACGTTGGAGATGTATTCATGACACTTTTTAGATGTATCTGTATTCGTTACATCTTTAAAGATGTGACCTTTTCCGTGACACATTACAGATGTTACCACGGAAGTGTCACTTTATAGATGTAACTGTTTTCGTGAGTGAGATGTAACTATATAGCAGTGTACGGTCAGTGTCGCTCGGGGCGCTGTCCGCTGTCCCCGGGCTTGGTGACGATGTCTCCACTCTTGGGCAGATCGCTCTGCTCTCCGAACTTCTCCACCGCTTTCTTCATCTCTCTTCTCTTCTGTGCTTCGCGGATTATGTCGAATAGACTCTGGAAAACAGAATATTACAATTATCGTTACATAATTATATTTCGTTTATTATAGTTTTAGTACCACTTTATACTGCGGATTTATCTAAACGTAAGTAAATAAAATAGTTATTTTTAGAATTGAATTTATTTTATTTAATTATTTACTCTCCTAATTCATAAATAATATTTGTGCAAATAACTTTTAATTAAAACCGATGTTATTGATTGAAAGGTAATTACTACCTAAAATCTAATGTCACTTCTTTCTAATATTGCAAATGCAAAAGTTTAGATGGATGGAGACTATGACTGTAATACTCAAAAAAGGGTTAACGGATTTTGCTGAAATTCGATACAGAAATAGAAATATTTAAGATCTAGCTGCTCTTGTGCGGCTTCATCCGCATGAAATTATAAAAACTTTTAAATTATTGTTTACTTTTGTCATCATCAACTTGTATATCCCTTCCGGAGGTTCGGCACAGTATGTGCTGCTCTTCCATACATCTCTATCAGCCCTCATACCTGAATCCACTCCTTTCTTAAGCATATCCTCTATTAAATTGTTTTTTTATATTATTTACTTTAGTCAAATTCTCAATTACAAATGCATTAATGACACCGAATACCTTTGACATTTAATAACAATTACCGTTACCATGACAACCTTGCTTTCTTGATGTCAGTTTAGTTTTTGTCCCTTTCCCGCATAACGGATTTTTCCTAATTATTTTCTCCCTATTAATAGCGTAAAAGTATATAGACTACAGGGTGTCATAATTGTCGGTCTTTTTACTAAAAGAATAATTATTAAATAAAATATTAAAAATTTATAAATTATTTAAATATATAGCTACAACATTTTGAATAATTACTCTTGTTTTTTTTTTATATCATAAGGTGGCAAACAAGCAAGCGGCCACCTGAATACGCCAAAAGGCGAAGTGACCGCTGCCCATAGACATCCGCAATTGCAGATGCGTTGCCTACCCTTGATTAGCGGAGGAGGAGACGCACATAAAAAGGACACTTCCCCCTCCTATGCGTCCCCTGTACCATCAAATCCACGTTCGCTTCCCATCGTTTTTGTATAAGAAAAAGGGTGGGAAGGAAAAGGGACTAAAGCAGGGCCCCCGGCACTACACTCATCAGACGAAACGCGGAATTTTCTGTGTGGTCGTGGTATTGCACCGAGCGAGCCGATCCATTCGTGCGAAGATGTTTAAGCGGGCTCTAACACTGTTAGAGTTTGGTTAACACACTACTTAGTTAAGAAGTGTGTTTACGATTTTTTATGTTAGTATAGATTTAAAAAACTACCTTTCCATCAGAGTCGCTGGTCTTATCCTGCTCCTTGGCAGCTGAAGCCGCCTTATCCAGAGCTTTCTGTATTTTACTCTCAACTTCTAATATTTCCTCCTTATCGAGAAGTTCGATCAGTTCGTTTATCTGTTTCTCGGACAAATTCACGTTCTCGTTGCCTATTATTTCTAACATCTGAAAGAAACCATGAGAAAAATTATTACATTTGTCAATATATTAAGTAAATCAAAGTTCAAATGGATTTGTGAATGATAGGAAAAAACATAAAATACTATCTAGCATAGATTAAAAATCAGATTAAATTTATCTAATTATTCAAGACTAACTGTTGCTCGCGACTTCGCCCGCGTGAATTTAGAAATTAAAAAAAAATTACCTATGTTACTCGCAAAAAAATACCTTTCTAACGTTGAAAGAATTTTTAAAATTAGTCGGGTAGTTTTTGAGTTATTTCAATACATACAAAAATACAAATCTTTCCCCTTTACTAGCTCTTGCCCGACACTCTGCCCGCATGAAATTAGAAAAAAAAAAGTGAGTAGCCTATGTGTTATTCCAGACTATCCTCTACATTTATACCAAATTTTATCTTATTAATCTATAGATTTGCACTAAACATGTGTATTGTATGATGTAATAACACTATCAGTTGCTATAACGAAGACAAAGGTTTGTTAAGATAAAAAGATATTAAACCCGTTAAAATTAGTCACCTTAATAGTACTGTAACTAACAAGAATTTATGCGTAGATAAATCGACCCTTAAAGGGTGTAACTATTTAAAACGAAATAATCTATTTTTCTGACTCTTACAAATATATTAAATGCAGAAGTTTGGATGGATGTTAGTTACATATTATATTATATATCTCCAGAACGGATCAACAAACATTGCATACATTTGAAACACTAACTACTAATATTATAAATGCGAAAGTTTAGATGGATGGATGGATGTTTGTTAGAGTTTGTAGCCTAAACAGCTGAACGGATTTTTATAAAATTTGGCATAGATATAGATGATAGTCTGGAAAAACACATGGGCTACTTGATTTTGTGTTTTTTACTTGCGCGCGGACGGAGTCGCGGGCGAAAGCTAGTATAGAATATAGTCTGGAAGAACACATGTGGTAATTAATTTCTAAATTCCACAGACAGAGTCACGGGTTAAACCTAGTTCAAAATAAAAACTAACCTTCAAAACGTCATCAATCTTGAGTTGTCCATCGAAGTCATCATCAAGCCTGCCGAGCACATCTTGTATGAGTTTCAGTTTGGCTTCATCCGGCACCTTCTGTAGACTCTTTATGGAATGCATCAGTTCATCAATCTGTATCAACTGCTCCTTGGCCTTCTGCGGCTCCGTCTTCGAATGCTCCAACGTCGTCTTCAGAGCTTTCTCCTTATTTTCCAACTCCACAAGCGCTGCGTCCAATTTACTTATCATATTGTTCACAGCGCGGTACAATCTGGAATTTATTTTAACCAGCATTAAAATGTATTACAGTAGAACCTCGATAACTTAAACCACGGTAACTTAAAAACCTCTATAACTTCAAAAAGTAACATGTTCCCTTTCCATCAGAGCCCAAAACTTTACAACAAAGACCCTTGATAACTTAAAACCTCTATAACTTAAAATATTTTGTGTTTCCCTTGGACTTTAACTTATCAAGGTTCTACTGTAGATTAGAGAATTACAATACATAGATTGATAGAATTATTAAAGAAATCAGACGGAAATAAATATTAAAACAACATTAAAATATGTAACAGCATCTTCTGTAATAATCATACTAATGTTATAAATGCGATAGTTTAGATTGATGGATGTTTGTTAGAGTTTGTATCCTAAATGGCTGAACGGATTTCGATAAAATTTGGTATGGATGTAGAGGATAGTCTGGAAGAACACATAGATGACTCTTTTTTTTTTTAATCCTACGCGGACGGAGTCGCAAACAAAAGCTAGTAAAGTAATAAAGAGGAAAGATTTCTATTTTCGTATGCATTGTAATAACTTAAAAACTACTGGGCCGATTTCAAAAATTCTTTCACTATTAACAAGCTGCGTTATCCGTAACATAGAGTTTCTAAATATTTTTTTAATTTACAACAGCTAATAAACTTTAAAGCCATCTTTAAACTCTAAAATCTCGCTCTTTCAATAAAATTTTCAACTGATATATTGTTAGCGACGCATTGTTTTAACTTTATTTCAGAATTAGCTGCTGCACGCGACTTCGCCTGCGTGAAATATATGTTACTCACAGATAAATTATCTTTCTAACGGTGATTTTTTTTTAAAATCAGCCCAATAGTTTATGAGTTATTTTAATACATAAAAAATACAAAAATACAAATCTTTCCTCTTTATAATATTGGTATAGATAGTATAGATTAGGTCATAGGATGTAAAATTTTACATTTCAACAAGAGGTCTTCTAATGGTGGTTTATCTAAGAAATCATTTACATTTATAACATATTTCTATTATTTTGTTTCTCGTAGTTTTTCTAAATTACAGGTATTTGTAACATAGAAAATAGTGATATTACTTTCTAAAGTACATTAAATCACACATATATTTACAATGGAAAAAACCCTAGTTTTTAATATTTATTGTTCTCTAACACTATAAATAAATTACAACGTTCCATAAAAGTTGACAACAAACAGTCACTACCTAACCTGAATACTGATAGAAACTATGACTCATAAGTCCAAGGTCATTGTAAGTTATACTAAAGATGTACGGAAATTTGCGCGGAAAAAATATACTACGATAATAACAACACTAATGTTAAAATTCCATAAAAAATCTATGTTTTACTAGTTTTCTGTCTGAAATAAAAAACTTCTGAATTAAAGAAACCAAATTAAGCACCCTATGTGTTCTTCTAGACTCTCCTCTACAAGCCATATTAATTCGAGATCCGTTCAGCAGTTTATGCTACAAACTCCAACAAACATCCATCCATCCATCCATCTAAACTTTCGCATTTATAATATTAAATAAACTAAAGTAAGAAATAAGATGTTATACAGTTTTTAAACGAATTAATTCCGAGAATTAATTCGTTCGGAACAATGCATTGTTAAGTTTGAATTACCTTTAAATAAAAAGAGCAATTAACTACTATTACTTAAGGACTAAAATAGCGTGACCTCAACAATGATGCAGTAATAAACATGATGTAAAAACAAAAATTACGCATCGGTCAACACTGGTTATTTTTTATCATAAAACTAGTTGATTAGGGCATTGACCGAAAGGATATCAAAATTTATGCAACTTATGAAAAACAAATATAAAAATATCTTTGCTATCTATTTAATAAACCCTTACAATTTTTTTTAATAAAAACATGTACATCAACACCCTGAATCTGACTTAAACTTAGAAATGTGTAAATAAAAACCTATTAGCGGAAATATAATTTGGATATTCAATTTCAATATAAATAACTGGTGACCCACTCCGGCTTCGTAAGCGTCCTATACTATTACAAAATATTTTTATTTACATCACATTAGAAACCTCTAAAATTAGCAGTATTTATATACTATGTTATCCATTTACACACTAGCTATTGCTCGCGACTTCGCCCGCGTGAATTTAAAAAATAACCTATCTAACTCACTGGTAACATAGCTTTCTAAAGGTGAAAGAATAATAAGCGTACATAAGGACAGACAGACAGCGGGAAGCTACATTGTTTTATGTAGTCCTGATATTTATAACTAACGACGTTAAATACTACTAACCTTCTGGCACCCTTTGTCAGTTTAATATCAGCTTGCTTAGTCTTGACAATCTCCTGCATTTCTTTGACATCCTCACTATAGTCTAGCAGTTCCGTCTTCAACTCCTGAATACTTTCCTTCTCCAGTAGCAGAGATTTCTTCTGTTCAGCTGGAATTAAAAAAATATATGGGATAAAAATACTAATATAAATGCGGAAGTTTATGAATGGATGTTTATTTCGTATCTCCATAATTGCTTAACGGATCTAGATAAAAGCACAGATGTTTGGAAGAACATATAGGCTAATTAATAAGTTTTTTTTAAATTCCGCGAGTCAAAGCTAGTTATAAATTTGTCACTATATAAAGTAGCAATAGAATTATAAAGTAACTAACTTTTTCCCGCGACTCCGTCCACGTGGAATTAAAAGAAAACTAAGTAGCCTATGTGTTCTTCCAGACTATACTCTACATCTATGACTAATTTCATCGAGATCTGTTCAGCTGTTTAGACAACAAACTCTAACAAACATCCATCCATCCATCTAAACTTTCGCATTTATAATATTTGTAAGAAGTAAGATGTAAGATTATTGTTATATTACATCATTTTAAATCATATAGTTTTTTTGTGGCTTACCAAAAAAGAGATGTTTGAATGAAGATAATTGATTAGTAGAAAACATAACCAAATGTGGGCTTTCTGTTTACTACCATAGATACGAAAATTGAAATACAACATACCATTTAAAGTATTGAAATATTCATCAGTCTGTTGTGTAAAGGGAAATATAATAGAGAAGTTAGGAATGTTACAATAAATTGTATGACCATAATTTTAAACAAACATGGTACTCTCAAGTACATAAATTACCACTATAAATAAACATGTGCCATTCACTTTCTTAGAAAAACATAAACATGAACTACCTTGACATTTGCGACAATGCTTTAACAATTAAAACATGGCACTAATCCAAAACGTAACACAAAAAACTTTAAACTTTTTGTCCGTTGAGTAATGCAAATAGTAAGATAATTTTAGTATATAAGCTATAGGTAACAGAATATTTTTTGTGTGGTAAAGCCAATAACAATGAACTTACCTAATTTTTCTAAAGCATCTTCAATTACCTCCAAATCTTTACCGGACAAACCTTCCTCAGACTTTTCCTTTTGCTTTGGTACATCAATAGCTATAACAGGGGCAGGATCAATCATAACTTGTTCCATATCCATTTCAATAATGGGTGCTTTATCAACAAGTTCCTCTTTCTGCTTCTTCTTTGCTTCTAGTATCTGTTTCTCTCTCTCCGCTTCTAAGAACTCCTTCATATCTTCCTTAATCTTCTGTTCTTCCAATTTAATTGCCTCTGCTTTAGCCTGTAATAAATTGGAATTAATATAAAAACAGAAAACTGACAATTCAATATAAATTATTTTTACAAAAATAACATTTTCCTATTGAAAATGTAATGTATGATGTAATAAACAAACTAATTGAAATTGTTTGTTTATTAAAAAAAATACTTCAACATAAATAAATGAAAAGCAATTATAGGAGATATTACCTTGAAGTCCACTTTGCCTTCCTTTTCACCGATAGCTGCTTTAGTTTGTGTAGCAACTTGTTCAGGTAATGCAGATATCGTGGCCTTCAGTTTGTACGTCGTCGGTACATGTTCCGGCACCATAAGAGCTCGGGACAATAACAGTAAAGACGGTGGCACCTTCTCATTTAACGACAAATCCAGCCAATTCCTCAACTCCTTCCGTAACCTCTCCTCAGATACACCATAAGCTCTCATACCTCTCGCTCTACAAGCCTGTTGAAGCTCACTGAAGTTCAAACTATCGACACCCTCCTTTGCAATCATTTTGTCATCAGCCGCCAGTGACCGTAACTTCATTTTAAGGTTATACCGTAACATAGCACTTGTTCCAATTGTTGAAGCATTTAACACTTTACACAAAGCAACCAAATGTGGCCTTTGAAGTGAATCCAATGTGATCTCATCCTCAAACAGCTTAGAGAATTTCATTATTTCCTCACTAGTTGCTACATCACCTGAGGTCCGTATTCTACTAAAGAAATTAGAAAACTCCTTAGCAAGTTCTGAATGTCTATTACTAGCTTGCGGTGCCATTTGATCCAATGTTTCTTGAAAGAACTTTGCCATTTCTAACTTAACTTTTAAGTGTTGCTTCAGCTTAGCCTCTTTTTGACTTCTGCTTTCAAAAGTACTGGGCAACATGTTTGGGAAGAATTTAATAAATAATGGTAATGCAAACTCCAAAAATGGTACAATTATGAACACTATAAAAGGCACCATTCTAAACAGATCTCCGACGGTGGTGACCATCAGTCTGTGCTCACGCCGTGTTAGAGATTTTCCTTTTAATATTTGGAATAACAGTGACGTTGATATTCTTATTTCTATAAAGAGTAACCTAAAACCATGGTAATAATGTGTAAGCTCATCCATTATACGCTGTTTTAAACTTTTCTTTTTAACCTCTTCCTTTTTGGGTAGTTTTTCTTTTTCTTCAATGCCTTTTTTAATTGTTTCAACTGTAGCCTCAACCTTAGAGGATGGTTTAAGAGGTTCTTTCTCATAACATTGGTTGGTGGTGCTAATATATCTGAGATGTGGAGGAAAGCCAATGATTTGTGAATTAAGAGGCTTCTGTGTATTATCATGCTGCAATCTCAGAGGATGAGTTGTGTAATATGACAATGACCTTGAAAGTGTAATATATGGAATATTTTGATACTGTTTACACTCCCATATTATATCTGAAAAAAAAAAATACTTTCAGTCAATTTTATTACCAAAAAATTTATCGAAGTTTTAAAAATATAGAAAACCTTGAAATTATGGTTATTTTCCAACTAAAATTCAGTCTAACATATGAGTTAGATTCAATAAATGTACATACCGCGTTATATCCGTTTTTAAATTAAAGTTAAATATCGTATTTATTGTGTAATTTGCAATGATACATGACAAAAACATTATTGAATCTAAGATTTTTGTGACGACCTTGTAGTAAGACAATCTCAACCTTATCGTATAAATTCACAATTATTATATATTTTATACAATGACTTCCTAGTTATGCTGATATCAATGAAGTCATGGGATAATCAATCAAGTAGGTTTTTGTCTCATATATAAGGTTATGTGAATAAAACATTTCGCCTATGATAAAGGTATTTAAAATCATACTCACTCGATCGTTTTAAACAACGATAATGATTTAAAATTATTCTGTTCATTTTGAACTTTTATCTTCTTTAAAAATGAACTATATTATTACTGTTTTACATTAAAAACAAAATCACCTACATGCACCATGACAGTTTAGAAGTTTAACAGATAATAAAAGTGTGTAGAAATTGGTAAAAAAATAAGTTAAGATGTATAAAAATGAAGTAAATGCCTACTTCTATGAAAGTATATGTTTTGACCTCTGATCACTTACGAGTAAATTTATTAGGCCTGGTGGCAAAAATCTCCAAGATCAGGCGGTTTATGTAGCAGATCATTTTATTTAGAGCGCTGACAGTGGAAAAATGCAGCTGGTTTTGGTAATGTGTGCTGACAAATGGCAAGTCTACCTGAATGTCACTGTCAAAAATGTTGAATGTTGACGATTCGATTGTCGATCAATTTTAAGGTTAGAATAAGGTATAAAAAATTGGCTATTTAAAAAACTTTAAAGATGATTTATTTTTATAGATAAAATTTATTTCACCTGTAGCGCGTAATTAATACTATACTGCAACCACATATCGTTATTAAGTAAAATTTGTAGGCATGGGCATTTTTCGTTATTGTCTTCAATCTCAAATGAAAAACATATTAAACAACATTACCCGAACGTTGTCTAACAGTAAGTCTAGCTATTGTGAATATTTGTTTATTAGAAAAAAAAATTATTGATTTATCCTATCTTACTTCTTATACTAATAGAAATACGAAAGTTTAGATGGATGGATGGATAGATGGATCGATGTTTGTTAGAGTTTGTAGCCTAAACTGCTGAACGGGTCTAGATGAAATTTTGCATAGATGTAGAAGATAGATTAATTCAACGCGGACAGTCACGGGCGCAAGCTAGTCGTAAATAGAACAGAAAAAAACAACATATGTTCCAGATATGACACATCAAGAGATATCAAAGAGGATAGTTTGGGTGGATTTGGAAATGACTGGTCTGGATATAAATAAGGATCATATACTTGAGATAGCTTGTCTTGTGACAAATGCGAACCTTGACTTGGTAGCTACTGGACCAAACATAATCATACACCAGCCTGATGAAATCCTTAACTCTATGAACCAATGGTGTGTTAATCAACATGGTGAGGTATAAACTAATCTGTCACATATATCAATACTAGCTGTTTCCTTGCGGCTTCATCTGCATGAAATCATGTTTTATTGTTTACATTTGTCAAATTCTCAATTAAAAATGTCAAAATTGCAATGACTATACTAAACATGCTTCCTTAATGTTAGCAGCTCAAAGGTTATGGTCCCCTTTTCCACATAAAGGTTTTTCCAATTTTAATAGCTTGAAAATATATAGCCTAAAGCATGTTATAAGTGTAGGGCTTTTTATTACAGAATGAATTATTCAAATATATACTGTGATTGCTGACATCCTACACCACAAAGTATTGTGTGTTTACACTTTATTATATTAGTATAGATTACACTTGAAAAACTTGAAGGATTACATTTTTATCCTTACTAATGGTATAACAGTGCAGCCCGACATTGCTTATTTGACATCTTGGTTATTAATTTCTTGCAAATGTATTTTAAAACATTTTATTATTTAGTTCTTAAAACAGTCCTTTGTGCCGGATATTGAGTTTTCACTATTCTCTTAGAGATTAAATAGATAGTTATCTTAGTTTTAAGGGAAAACAAGATATATGAAAATATATAGTTGCTTTGATAATGGAAACGCAAAATAATACATAATATTAAAACTATAAAAAATCTTGACTGGAGTAGGTTTCAATTGGTTTCTTTGATCACTTTTTATTGCAGAGACATTTGTTATATATTTTTTGCAATATTGAGAGGATTTTATACTAAAAGTTTTTAAAGCTGTTAAAATAATTCATAATAAAAATTTCTTACAGAGTGGATTGACGGAGGCTAGTAGACAATCTTCAATATCAGTACAAGAAGCTGAGAAACAGGTGTTAAATTTTGTGAGCAAACATGTTCATGAGAACAGAAGTCCTTTAGCGGGAAATAGTGTGTATATGGATAGATTATTTCTACGTAAATATATGCCAAAACTGGATTCGTATTTGCATTATAGATTGATTGATGTCAGTACTATAAAAGAACTAGCAAAGAGATGGTACCCTCAAGAATTTTCTAGAATACCAAGTAAAAAATTTGAACATAGATGTATGAATGATATTTTAGAAAGTGTTGAAGAATTGAAGTATTACAGAGGAAATATTTTCAAGAAGGAGACATTGAAAGAATAACATGAGCAGAGATTACATACAAAAATTTTTAATATACGGGTATCAGTAATTGCTCCTGTTTTTTATTTAATGTGGCCTCGTCAATTGATTTAAATTGAATCAAAATAAAGATTTTGTAATATTCTCAGTTTCGTTCTTAATTATTTTCTATTCATCTTCATTTTATAAAAGTTATGAGTTAACTTTGATCGTAAAATATTTTTGAAAGCGCCATCTATGTTGTGAAGTTATGATTTTTCAAGAATGTTTTATAACAAATATACATAAGTTAAGCATTTTCGCCGCTAGATGGCATTAGTAGTATTAGAACGAAAATTCGTGACAGAAAATTATAAGCGGCTTAACAGCATTTCCACTACACTCCATTATTTAAAACGGGTGTTTCCGATGAAACCATTGGTTTATCATTTTAATCACACTCACATCATTTATTTTTTTTAAATCGGTGTAATAGTTTTGAGTGCATTCACTAAACATGCTAAGTATATTAAGACTAGCTGTTGCTTGCGACTTTGTCCGCGTGAAATTAAAAATATAGCCTATGTTAATATCGCAGATAAATTACATTTTCAACAGTAAAACAATTTTTAAAATTAGCCCAGTAGTTTTTTCACTATTTCAATACATACATACAAATGTTTTCTCTTTGTTATATTAGTAAAGACTAACAAACCGAAAAACTTTAGTGAAATCTATTTAAGGTTTATTTTCTTTTTAAAAGACTGCGGGCGAACATAAATATCGCAACATCCAATGATCAAAGGATTAATTAATCAGTGAACTTTAGAAATTAATGATCGAGTAAAAGAGGGATCCAGAGTGTTCGCTTGAAACGATTTTATGACCAAAATAGACTGAAAAATGTCAAGTATTAATAAGAGAAAGCTATATCTATACTAAAATAATTTTTTATGTATTGAAATAACTCAAAAGTACTGGACCAATTTTAAAAATTCTTTCACCGTCAGAAAGGTCATTTATCTGTGAGTAACATAGGCTATATTTTTTACGCGGGCGAAGTCGCGAACAACAGCTAGTCATTGATAAATCAATATTAATATAGAAAATAAAATATAACAACAAAAATACATTTCAAAGCCAATATGATCAAATTAACAAAATCCTCGAAGTAAATTTAGGTATTAATCGTTAAATATCACAAGTACCAGTTTTCCCGTAATTTAACTATCTTAAAACTTGAGAAAGAACATCATTTTTTGTATGTTTTGAAATAACTCAAAACTACTGGGCCAATTTAAAAAATCCTTCACCATTAAAAAGCTACGTACTAGTGTAGTAACATAAGCTATATTTTTGACCGACTTCCCAAAAGAAGGAGGTACTCAATTCGTCGATATATTTTTTTTTTATGTGTGTTACGGCATAACTCCGCCGCAAGTGGACCGATTTTGATAATTCTTATTTTATCCGAAAAGTAATGCTTGCAGGTGGGTCCCATTTTTTTGTTTGATTTTTGGAGTCTAAGACTATGACGTAGTTAAATAGTTTTGTTCATTATCTTTTAATTTCAGGCGGGCGAAGTCGCCAAGTCGCGAAGTCCAACAGCTTTTGTAAAAAACAATGACGGTTAGCGTTGTATAACGGAAAACTTACCGTCACTTATAATTACTAAAGGAGTGTTTACCATTGGGCTATTGATTCAATATATCCTATGGGCCCAATAGGAAAAATTACCTTTGTTCTCACCGAATTACTATTTCCTTCATTATTGTATACTCATAAAAGAAATAACTTCAGTTGTTTAGCAACATTTTAACTCAGCATTTACACCGCGTTGTTTGAGTGAAGAGTCCGGACCTGTTGATTGTGTGCGGCAATAAAACAGTTTGTTTTTAAGCTGCTTGCAAACGAAGTTTGTCTTTAGAGAGTCGCCATTGTCAAACGACAGAGGATTTAATCTGAAATACTTCTACCAAAAACATTTAGGGCCTGTCCCACCAAACTGTAAATCTTACAATCGAACGTGTAAAATATGATGGAAAAATCGTATTTTGTTACCTTCAGACAGTGACATTTTTAATCTGAGCCTGTCTCAGCCAGTGGTACGACAGGCACTTAATCTTTTAATATAGAAAGAGACAACTATAGGTTTAACAGTTGGCTCTTTTTGATTGGCATTAGATAGCTTTTAATGATATTAGAAAACTAATTTGTAAAAAGGAATCGAGGTCACAAAAAACCGTTGACACTAACTTTTTAACGTAACATCCATTTCATTTATTAAGTGGAAATAGGTCGCATCGTCGGGGGAATATTCGCAAACACCATTTAATAGCTTGTTAATTAAAACAAACAAAATCTTTTGATCGTATTTATGATCAACGAGGCGATATCAATATGAATAATTGATTTCAATCATCACAAAATACGTTAAACAATTACTTGTTAAATCTAATTTAATTGTTTATCAATAAAAATGAATCATTTTGTAAGGGAAGTCCCTGGCTTCCTTGGAATCCCAGTTAAGACGCCGAGCCAACACTTGATGTAGTTATCCTTAGTGTGAAATAAAGATGTTTATATTCCTATTTCATAGTAGGTTTATGTAAGCATTGTATGGGTATATTATGAGGAATGAATCGCATGTAACAAGGAGAACGTTACTTACGAGTGTGGTACACCGGTAGAGGTAGACCTAGAAAGAGATGGATTGCGTGCAAGGTGACATGATCAAGAAGGGAGTGACTGAGATGACGTATGATAGACTTATGTGGAGGACAAAAACCTGTTGCGCCGACCCTACGGGAGTAGGATAAGGAGAAAGATGATGAATTTCATAGTAGGTTTAAATTACATTAATGAAAGAACATCGAAATTTAATAATCACATAACAAATGGATACGGTTTGTACAGTGTAACTTAACTTAAGCACTTTTTATTAGACGTGAAAACCTCTTTTTTAACAATGCTTCAATTTATTCACTACTCTCCTTTTTGTTCTGCAATTAACTTCAACATTCTTGATCTAAATAAGGAACTTTAGATTTTTGTGTAAAAGTCGTGATTAAGAAATAATTACAATTTTATAACAGAACTGTTATCTATATTAATTTTTTTCCTTTAAGTAACCAAATCTAGGCTTTAATTAGGAGCGCATTAATTATTTTGGTCTATAAAACTTGAGTTAACAAATTTAAGTTTTTCAGTCACGTATCGCAGCAATCTGTAATCACATATTTCAAAAGTGAAATTGTATTCCGACATGCGATATATTTACATGTGAAATTAAATATCTATTATATACTAGCTTTCGCGCGCGACTCCGTCCGCGTGGATTTAAAAAAATCAATATTAGGCATATGCGTTCTTCCACACTATTCTCTATCATCATCATCATCATCATCATCACCAGCTCACTATACGTCCCCACCGAGGGGCTCGGAGCCTACCCTAAGTTAGGGTGACTAGGCCATGGTCAACCACGCTGGCCCACTGCGGGTTTGTTGACTTCACACATATCTTTGAATTTCTTCGCCGATATGTGCAGGTTGCGATCACGATGTTTTCCTTCACCGTAAGGACGTCGGGTAAATTATGTACATATGAAAATTCGAATAATCGAAAATCACATTGGTACATGGCGGGATTCGAACCCAAGACCTGTAGATTACAAGTCAAGTGCTTAAACCACTGAGTCACCGACGCTATATGTCTGTGCCAAATATCATCAAAATCCGTTCAGCCGTTTAGGCTACAAACTCTAACAAACATCCATCCAGTTAACTTTCACATTATAACATTAGTATGATAGTATGATTAGATAAACAACCATATAACTAAAATGGATTATTAAAAGAAACAACTGGTCTGGTTTTTTAATTTCAATTTATTTTCAAAACTATTATCTTAAAACTCCTATCAAAGTAATTGATTTCCAACACTAGTCAAAGTCAATTATTTAGTTAACATAAGTGAATATATTTTAAAACGGATTAAGTAGTAAATACGGCTAAATTTTATAGATTTTTAATTTCAATAACAAGTTAATTAAATTATCTAAATCTCTATCATTTCTAACATAAATTTATTACAAAGTTAAAATACTATCACTACAATAAACATTACTTAAATACATAAAAATCGAAACAGTTTCATTTCTAAACGGGTCACATATGTCTATACTATTATATTATACACTAGCTTTCACCCGCGACCCCGTCCGCGCGGAATAAAAAATACAAAAGCAAGTAGCCTGTCTTCTAAATTATCCTCTACATCTATGACAAATTTCATCAAGATCCCTTCAGCCGTTTAGCCTACAAACTCTAACAAACATCCATCCATCTAAACTTTCACATTTATAATATTAGTAAGAAGTAAGATTAAATTTCAAAAACTTACAGCAATATAGAAACAAGTCTCGTAGGAAAAGTGCCTACTTGTTGATGCTGGCTGGCGAGCTTCAATTTACTTACTACTGTATGATAAAACAAGGGAACTCGCCGCTTTGATTATACCGCCAGAGATTCAAATAGAAAAAAATAATAAAACACGAATATAAGATTTTCCTCGACATTTCTACATATTAAAAAAGATGTAGAGAATTCAATTGAATATTCCGATTAAAATATGGAAGAAACATAACGTAACTACAGAATTTGTTTTGCGAAATATCGAATTTGATCTAAAGTCTTTGAAGAAAATATATTTATCCTTACTAATATTATAAAGAGGAAAGATTTGTATGTATTGAAATAACTCAAAAACTACCGGGCTGATTTAAAAAAATCTTTCACCGTTAGAAAGGTAATTTATCTGTGAGTAACATAGGCTGTTTTTTTTAATTACCCGCGGGCGAAGTCGCAAGCAACAGCTAGCAATTAATAATCTTAAGATCAATAACTACGTGTTATAATTTTCAGTTAGTTAAAAATTCAATATTAAGTACTTCGAAAATGTACTTTTAATTCAAGCTATAAAGCTCAGTTTATTAAACTTTTACGACATCCTAAATGTGGCAAGATCGAGGCTGAAGCCAAAACAAATTTACAAATTAACAAACACATTTATTTTGTTTGAAAATTATAAAAGACAGTATTATAGAAAGTTTCAGGTAAAGTTTAACTTAGGATAGTTTAAAGGTTCCCTTAAGCTATAACCTACTTGCTTTATTAAGTATTTTTTTATATTTCATTTAACAATTAAATTAAATTGCTTATTCTTGTATTAAATTTGCGATACTATAAATCTAAACGCTCGTTACTTTGTTTCGAGGGAAACCTCACGTGGATTATAAGTAATATTTTTAGGTACATTTTATACGCGCTCGTAAAACCTTTACGGCTTTCAATATTTTGATATTTACATTTAGATAGCAACATTTTTAATCATATATGAGGTTTACAGAAGGAAACATTTAATTGAGATATTTTTGTTTCTATAAGTTAACGCATAGTCTTATGTATTCTTAAAAAAACATGATATTGTGCGTTAAATTATACAATGTGTCATTTTATATAGTTCTCACTATATTGTTCTCAATTACAAAATAAATAGTTCTATTTTTATATTTGGTAAAAATAGTCTACTGGGTAAAAGTTCTATAAGAGTTAATTCTTTATTTTAACATCTACGTTTTAAGTCTTTACATTACTAATACATTTTATCTACATATTTGATACAGATTATATATTTATCATTTATATATCTACATATCTATATACTGTTTAGATCTAGTTTATTTATGTACTTCATTACAGAGAGAATCTCATCGGCTACGAAATGTCAAAATGTATACAAGCGGCTTGTTAAAACACATAACAAGATTTTGTAGCAAATAACGAGATCCGAAATTTAAGTAGGAAAATGGTTAAGATTAACTATAAATATGTAGTTATTTGTTAAATTTTCGTATGATAGAGAATTAATCGTAGGTCACGTGCAATATTTCCCGCGTTGGCGGTCGTTCACTCTGTCACTCGCGACAGCTGATCTCTGTAGTGTGTAGTATGGCGCGCTACTCGCGCACGAACACAAACTCATTGTAGTGGTTCCAGCGGTTCTCCTCGGAGTCTACCCCGGGCTTGAGCTCGGCGGCTCCACCGGCCGTCCCGCTGCCGCAACTCGCTGTCAACTTGAAGCCCTGCTCCTGCAGCATGTCAAACGCCTGTTCGATGAACGAGTGCTTAAGGAAGAAGCGCGAAGTGTAACGGTCGGCCAGACCGTGGTCGGGGTCGCGCGATTCGTTCAGCGTCTCACCAAACACGTCACGGCAGAGCGTCACCTTACCGCACACCAGGATCCGCGACAGCTTGCGGAACTTGACGTCGGCGAGACCGTCGCGGCCGAACGCGAAGCTGCCGCGGTAGCCGACGGTGATGCATCCCTTCTCGCGGTGCGGCGGGCGAGGGTCGGCGTCGCGTACGGCTGCCTCCAGGCCCGGCAGCCGGTAGTGTCGTGCCTCGCGCGCCAATCGCTTGTGCTCGCGGAAACACTCAGGCAGTACGAGTCCGCCGTCGCGCAGGTAGTCCAGCACGTAACGGAAGAGCACGCCGTCACGGTCAAAGAAGATGCGACCGCGGGCGTCGCGCGGGTGGTCGGCGTCGGCGAGCGCTACGGCCGGCAGCGAGTCCGGCTCGCGCAGCAGCGTGTCGCGCGTGCTCGCGTAGTGCACGCCGCCGACGTTCAGCTCGAGCACCTCGGCCGGCGCGTCCGCCATGGCTGGATGCTGGGCACGGAGTGGCGACGGCCGCGACTGCGCGCTCCCTGTTCCCGCGCGCCCTCGCGCCCTCGCGAGCCCGCCCCCTGACCCACTTCTTCCGCGTCTCGGCGCCGCGCTCCCATCAATAACGCACGCCTGGGTTACTGACTTCGGCGTAATCATTTCCTACCCTTTCGAAACTCTACCGCGAAAGCCTTCAAGGTCGACGTCTATTGTTAGCTAACAGATGGTTCATTATACCGCGGAGCTTTGGAAAGTTTTAACACTCGGTTTCCTGCGTGTAGCTACTTTGGTAAGTTTTGAGCGAAGCAACAATAACCGCTTTGAAATTTAGATATAACTTAGTTGACGATGTAATTTTATTGCTTTGTTGCAAATTCAATGAGGTTACATGAGTAAGCTAATCAGTAACATAGGTAGGTCCTCTTTAAGCAAATAGTTACAATTAGACGACTGATAAGTCTAGCTGAAGTTCAGTTGTAGGTATTGCTCTACATTGCATAGTGAGTGGGACCCGCATCCGTTCAGGTGACTCCTGCTACGTTGATCGGCCCGTGGACTTCGCGGCGTAGGATGAACAATGCTACGGATCACTACGAGGAGCTATAACGATGGCTACGTACTGTCGTAGCGTTAGTATTCGTACCAAAAGACTTAAATTTAAATGACTCGTTTATTTTTCCAATTTATAGAATAAAGTTTCATGATAAAAGTGTTTGTTTTAAGGTGTTTTGTAAAGGCGGGGCGCGACCCATGTATCACTTAACGGGTGTATTGGATCTGTGGCCGACGAAGTATGATGGATGACGAGTTTGATGGATGAAGGGGGTAAGTGAGATCGTTTAACATGGATATTTTACAAGAATTTATATTACAGAAAAACATGAATTTTGTTGTGCAATTTTTATCATAGGATAAAGAAAACTATTTAAATTGGCATTCCTACTATTTACTACATATTAACCTCTCTTATTATACACTATGAGTACATTACATATACGATTTTTTTAAAGTAGATTAACATTTTAGTTGGAATAAAAATAAATTAATTTGCATAATTAATAAACTTTCGCCGTCTAACGGACATATTTTTCAGTCTGAAATTCTATTCAGTAATAAAATCTTCACAATTCGTATACAAAAATGTAAATGAATTCGAATACGATGTGTACAAAAAGGTTCTGTTTCTAAAGTAAACGTGTGCAAAGCTTTGTGTATTCAAAGTGCAGGGTCACGGAGAAAAAATAGTAAAGGTGACTTTCAAAAGATTTATATGGAAAAGACACGAAAGCTGATTACGTTAAAGAAAAATTTTAATTAACACGTTATAATATTGATTTCTACCGAAACTTTTGTACAAAATAGTTTGTTTTTTAATCAGATACACATCACTATAGATCGAGGAAGACCTTGGCTGATGACTATCCCAGGGTCAGAAATAAATCGATCTTTCGGACCCTTGGATAGTCTTAGGAAAAGGCAGGACAACGCTAAATAATTGGAAAAAAGGCATAGTCAGAAGAAGAGAATGCATCATGCAAGTAAATATCGATATTTAGAGTTTCTCTTATAATAGCTCAAGAGTTAATTTTTTTTTCTTTATTTCAGATTTCAAGAGCACAAAGATAAATATTTCCACACATTCGTAACGAACGTAACAAGAGGGGTCCTTTTATTACGGTCCAGGGAAATTAGATTTTCCTTTCATTTGTGCACATTCACGTAATGAACTCTCAAGGGGCGCGATTGCCCTATCTCGTTTGACTGATAAAAATACATCTATTAAAAATATACTAAACTTGATATATGGAAATTTAACTAAGATTATAAAAGTGTTATTACTAAATCTTTCTAGATTTTTCCATTCCGATTTAGACAAAAGAAAAATAACCTTAATTACGATTTAGGTGCTAACACCCTGGACGAGAATAAGTAACCCCTTTTTTACCAGATTTAGGGGAGAGGGTTTACAGGGTTATATGAGACTATAGCAGACCTGTGGCAGTCTTTTCTGTCAACCGCCCTGGGCGGACTCCCAATCTCGCCCTACCGTAAGGCCTGCATAGCTCTTAGACTATCATACATGAATAGTAAGCGCCTATTACCAGGTAAACGAACCCTATTCAGACATGAACTTAAAATTTATTAAGTCTGTTTAAAGAATCATTATGTAGATTGTGAATGGTGCAAATAAATAAACCTTGAGTCAATTTTTATTTCCAATTTATCCCAACATAGGAAAAGTTTCAATCGAAATCCATTACGTTTATGAAATGTTGACGTACGTAAGGGAATAGCTCACCTCGAGCTAACACGGCGTGATATTACTCGACAAATTGGATCAAACGTTGTTATTTAGTTGTCGAGTTTTCGGGAGATGATTTGACGAAGCGTGACATTCAAGTTAGGAAATCAATTTCAAAGTAAACACGTGAATTCATTACGATGAATTTAATATACAAGAAATACGAGTTATTACCTGAACTTAAACAAGTAATTTACATAACTAAACCATTAAAGGATTTACTTATAATTTGTTTATTAATATCAGGAATATTGTAATTAAAAAACTAAAACGAATTAAACAAAATCAATATGTTTAGCACAAACTAAATTTAACAAATAAAATTAGTTTTGAAAATTTCTTGTTTCAAAAACCATAAGTGGTTTTCACAACACTAACATAATTGTGGTATAGCTTCCGTATAGTTTTCTTAAGAGGTCTATAAGACGCTAAAATAGACATTCCAAAGCGGGTTCAGTAAGTAATAAATTACTGACAGACTATACTTCTAGAAGCTTTCACCCCTTCCCATTAGCCGCAAGATGTCCGTGTTGGAAATAACTTCAAGATTCTTTATAGCTCTATAAATTTCAAGTTAAACAAATAAAACATATTTTCTTAAAGATTTCGTATGCACTGAGTATCTATTTTCTTTTTGAATTACATCACAAACACGGTTTTTGATATGCGTACAATCATAACGTGACAAACGAGCAAGCGGCCACCTGAATTCGCCAAACTTGCAAAGCGACAGCTGCCCATAGACATTCCCGATAGCGGATGCGTTCCGTTTTCCTAATTGATGGAGGAGACGCACAAAAAGAGCAGGTTTCCCCTTCCTATACGTCTCCTCCACCGTTAAATCCAAGTCCCTTTCCATCCTTACCTGATAAGATAAAGGGTGGGATGGAAAAGGGACTAAAATGAGGCCTCCGGCACCACACTTATCAGACGAAACGCGGAATTGCTTCCACTTCACGCCTGTCTTCTGTGTGGTTATGGTATTGAACCTTGCGAGCCTGCTCATTCGTGCGAAGATATTAAAGCGGGCTCTACCTTTGTTAAAATATATAAGTTTAAATATGTGATTAAATAAAATAAAAAAAAAAATACTACGTCTTGATTTATTCAATTATATCGCTAATTAATTTAATAATGGAACAAAATTCTTTAATTCATTCAATCATACGCATCGTCGACATAACCAAATTATAGGCAAAATGAAGTAGACTTATCCGTTGATGATAAAGCAATATTCAATCCGCATTACGATTCGAAAATTAAAAAAAGATCGTTTTGTTCCAGTGACGTCAGCATTGATGTCAGGAAATATGAGTTTTATCTGAAAAGCCTCATCATGGGTAATTGATTTTTTCGATTTAGAGGCAATAACAAAAATGGAAAATCTCTGCTCCATTAGATTTGATTAAATTAAAATGATAGGCGATTTAATTACTTTAAGAATTAGTAAAAAAAAATGGCATAGACGCATATAATTTTACCTAAATATTTAAAAAATGCCGTCTAGAAAACAGACTATGAACATTAAATTGATTAAAAAATTGTCTCTATTTCCTCTTATAATGTGCTTCAAACATTATTTTCTAGAATATCCCAAAGGTAAAAGTGTCGACAATATACCGTAAGTATTCTATCCTCAAATTTCCGACGTTTGCGTTGAGGGAATGCTGAATAATTTATTCTTATTACAGCATCATATTGCCCAATAAATTGGATGAAACTTTGTTAGGCTTTCGTCTACATGTAGACTATTCGAGAAATACGGGACAAGGGACATTGGTAAAATTTATTCCGTCAAATGCGTTGTTATTTCTAATTGAATGGGAAATTTTGGAATACTTCTATTATACAGGGTGTTGGGGAAGTATGTTTACAACGAAAACACAGATTCCCTGAAGTTATCTAAGGATATGACAATGATGGAAATGACGAAGGAATCTGCAGTGCTCCGTTATTTCTGGACACTCTGTATATGTATTACCACATTCAGATTTTTTTTTAATGAAAAATATTAGTAGATTCTTGTTTATTTACTAATATTTCCATTTACCATTCCAAGTAAGCTCTAGATTTATTCTAGGATATGGTTAAGACAATAGTCGAATGGTGGGATTCGTACCATCGACTGCAAGTTCGGTAGTCCGTACCGCAAGCCATTAGTCTATTAGCGCTCCACATTGATTCAAAAGGTTGACTAAAAAGATGTTAAAAAGGCAGGTAATACAAATTTTAGATAAGTTAATTCTAAAAATCTTAAAATACTCACTGGTTAGCTATGAAAAAGCAGAAAAACACTAATTTAATGATATATTTTGTGAAACTATTAAAAAGCCCATATTTGGGCCCCATTATTACCCATATCTGGTGTCCTTTGGGTGATGCGGGAAGTGACAGAAAAACAATATTCGACAAAATCAACATTATATTATTACTATAAACATTTTGACACGCAAAACAATTTTAAAAATACAAAAAAAAATACTTTCAAGTATAAATTAAATTAATAATGTTAAATTATTTACTTTTTCTAACAACAATAATTATTGCATCATTAAAAAATAATCGATACCTTCCACTCTGTAGTTGGATTAATTGCATCTAAGTATTCTATGTACTAGTACTTCTTTTACATTCTCTAATTACTTGTATTAGTCAAACATTAATGAAACATAGTAATTAAAAACAAAGAAAATTTAACTAAATAAATTAAAACACCACAGATAAGCTATATAGGCAAACAATTTCAATCTTTACGAATAGTGAAATCATTAAAAGAATATTCAGTAATATCTTTTTCATTTTTAAATTCAGCTTTGTCTATCTTGCTGCTAGGACTACCTGTAGTCCGTAACCAATGCATCCTGTTAAATATGAAATAGAATTGTATAACACTATACATTCAACACCAAATACAGGGAATATATTATATTAAATTATTGTATCTTAATTGTATAAGTCAATTGTAATTGTAACTCATAGTAACTGCAATGAATAAGAATGTATGTATAAAATATAGTGTGCTTTTGCCAATATTTTCCGGTTTCAGACATCCTGGCAACCCTAGGTGCATTGTACAGTGTCCTTACCCCTGTAATCCAATATGCTGTCTACACCGATATTGGTGTTAATATTGGAAAAAGCACACTTTATGTAAAATAATAGAGTAAAACTGTAACTCACATATTTTCTACATTTCCCGCTGGACCTTGAAGTTGCCCTTGCACTGTTCCTTTTGAGGTGTTCATGCACCAACCTGTAAGTCCTAATTTCTCTGCCTCTTGCTTAGTAAACTGCAAAAAATGAATTATTTATTGCTATTCAGCTGCAATGAAAAAAAATGAGGAATCAAACAATGAAAAATGCCACATTTCAAATATTTAATATAGAACGTTTGCAAAAGGTTTAATTATCTTCGTTTAATTTAATATTATTTTTTTAGACTGATATATTGTGATGATTTTAAATGCATTCTACCTTATGTAACTATTAGCTTACAAAACTGTTGCTAACTTTATATTACCAGTTTAATCATAATTTAATATAAAACAATTCAATTTGCACAGTAACTAAAAAAAAATTACCTTTCGAAAGAAGACTCCTTGCACTCGACCAAAAACTTCGAAGTCGACACTTCGCAAAGACATGGTTGCAGCTATTGAAAAATTTCTAAACGATGTGGCCACAGTAGTCAAAATTAATAAACGAATCATTTACATTTATTGTAAGATATTTGATAATATTATTTTCGAATTAAAATTGTTTGAATATTGAATTTTTCTCGTTCAAACTTCAAAGTCAAAGCAAAACTTTACAGAGGTAGCTATAAGAGTTTTCTGATTGGTGAACAATAAAATTTTCTCTGCTGAATTTAAATTAAATGACCTATAAAAACAAGCAATTTATGCAACTTAATTTTTTAAAAAAGATAGGATTATTTAAAAACGAATAAGTGTAAAAAAGTTCCATTTTCAAGGAAACACATTTTGTGGTAACATACTTCGTAAACATACCAGCGAAATTCAAACGAAGTTTTTCGTGCTTTTGCCAAAATATTGGTATGGTATGGCAACTTGCTTGTATTGGAAAGTCAACAGCTGTCATTATAAGATTTTGGTGATAAAATATATAGACTACAACAAGTACAAATTAACACCAAATTAAGTAATACACTTTTAAAATTTGCGAAAAACCAATAAAATTAGGTAAAATGGCTTTCTATAGCTGTGCCAGGTAGGTAATTTTATGGGTTATGTAACATTGACCGTGTATAACTTGTTTACCAACGTCTCCAATTTTCAGACTTAGTGCGAAGCCAGTTCTTGCGAGCTTGGGAAGATTTCCCCTTACATTGAAATCTGCTCACTACGCCCAAGCTGCGGTTGTTCCAAAAGTAAATTTCAAAAAATTTGAGGCACCAAAACTCGAACATTATGACGACAAAAACGCCCGTCTCAAACGTCCATTGTCTCCTCATCTTACCATTTACGCGCCCCAGCTGACGAGTATGCTGTCCATTACGCATCGAACTGCAGGTACTTATGAGAAATATATTGCATTAAAAAAAAATAAATGAAACCGTTGTATTTCCAGATATAATGGATTTTAGCTGTCATTGCTGGATAGAAATAGCAGGGTCTAGACTTAAAGCAAATCTACTGTTAACCATATGTCAGTTTTTTCTAACATAAATTTTATAGTTCTTTAATATTCATGTTAAAAATGTGTAAATGTTAATATATATTTTTACTATTGGAATTAGTAAATTGATAGTCTAATTATTTTTTAATAGCTTTTAAATGGTTTTAGTATTGTTTTATAAGTGTTTAAGTGCCATAAAAGATCTTGCATGCAGTTTTCTAACTTCTTAGTAAAAAGTTAGTATAGGAATTGTCAGCCGATCTTGGGAGATCAATGTTTTAGAGGGGCAAGCCAATAACCAAGGGTAGTAGTAAATACTATGTATTTTTTTTTTAATTCCAAATAATAACTTTGATAATAAAAAATGGAATAGGATTGTAGGGGGTATGAACTGTAGTGTTTTGAATTTGTTTATGTTTATTTTAAGAGTTTTCTTTCTATGAAATGTACCATGTATCTTGGTTAAAATTCAAAATACAAGCTTATTTTTTAAATGTTTTAGGTATTATCTTATCTGGGTATGCCAGCGTATTGGGCATTGGAGCGTTAGTATTACCTCACGATGTGTCCCATTACATAATGATGATTGAAGGTCTGAACCTGTCTCCGGCAACCATTTTCCTTGCCAAGTTTTTGATTGCCGCACCATTTGGATACCACTTTGCTAACGGTTTACGTCATTTGTATTGGGATACTGCGAAAGGATTGACAATTAAAGAAGTTTACTCCACTGGATATGCGATGCTAGCGACCGCAACTGCTATTACATTGTTCCTTGCTGCATTGTAAATATTGACGAAGTAGGGTAGTAAGAAAAAAAAAATATTGAAATGTTATTTATTTGTTTTGAATATAAGTATTAAACATTAATATATCAGACTTTATTTTATTTTTATACCCAATTATAAAAATCTATTACAATGTAGTTAATAAGGATATTTAGGCGATTCCACATGTGCTGAGAACGTCGTGGATTGTTTTGAATTTTTCGAAGTCTAGTTTTTCAGTGGTCACCAATCCTCTTGCGGCATTCTGTGAAATAATTTTAGTTACTATCATAAATTTTAAAGATACAAAGTTAATTGATACAGTAATTACATTCTTGTGTGTTAATTTAGATATTTGACCATTTGAAATTATATATTAAATATTGAATTCAGATTTAATTCCAAGTTTGCTTACAAGCTATAAAACAGTATCTAATACATTAAGACCTGATCAGTCTACTTTCGTGTTTTGATCTATTTGTCTTACTTCTTACTAATATTATACATGTGAAAGTTCAATGTACATTTTTGACCGACTTCCCAAAAGAAGGAGGTACTCAATTCTTCTGTATGTGTTTGTTTTTAAAGCGTGTTATGTATTTTACTGCTGAACGTATCTCGATGAAATTTGGAATAGATGTAGATAGACTGGAAGTACACATAAGATACTTTTTTTTATTCCATTCCTTTTTTTTCTATTCTTTTTTTTACACGGAATGAGTTTCCTGTGAAAATAATAAATATAAAATCTTACGTTGAACAGAACATTATTGTTCTTGTAGAATTCTCCATAGATGTTGAAGAGGTCGCTTCTAGTGTCCAATAGTTCAGCGAGACTGAGAGGTGCGTGAGCTATCGATACGTCGGAGAGGAAGTCTTTAGCGGAGAGCCAGGTGCGCGACGGCGACATCACGACGTTGCAAGTCGCGAAATTGGCGAAACTATCTCTGCCACCGGATTCGCGGTTTAGGCAAAGCAACTCGTATTGAGATCCGTCGAATTTGGATAAGTCCGCACCTAGAGTTATGACAGATTTAATATTTTGATTTTAATGTGTTATTGTAGCTTTTGTTCATAGGTATCAATTGAGGTATATAAATTAATTAATGCTTGTTGAATTAGCTATAATTTGGTATAAGGTGTAGACGGACATAAAGAGCATATTTCACCTTTCTATATATCTCCTCCTTTTCGATCAAGGAAAGGACAATTTGGTGGGTTTATGGACGGTGGTTAATGTTTTGCGAAATTCCTGAAGCCATTTTGCCACCTTATATTATAAACATTAGCACACCTTGGCAATGATTACACATTTTCAGCTGTTTGAATGATTACTTACTGGAAACGAATGCAACGTCGCCGTTATTCTGCAAACATTGGAGGGCGCTGCCGTCGCCGGAACAACGCTTCTTCATATTAGATACGTCTTCGCCTGGAATAAAATTGTTGCTTTTTGCCATTTATTTCTCTTAAAAGTAAAAAGATTCATTCTCTTGTATTTTACATAGAGTATGAAGAAAGACTGAAACTATAACAAATTCAATTTTATACATTTTGGTTTAAAGTGATACGCTTGAGGTATTTTTTTAAATCTTAGGTTATGTTTTGGTTTTAATAAATCCTTACCTCTTGGGTTATTTTCCGGTTTGTCAACACCGGGTAAACAAGATCCACCCGAGAAGAAATCTCCAAGGTTCTTTACACACTGTAAATATAGAAGAAAATTTTCATTAATGTAGCATGTAGGAAAAGTAAATTAGGTAAGTTTTTTTATTATTCCCAACCGTCACCTCGCTCTGTCCCCACGTGGAGACAGGTGAGAATAAAAAGTTTCATCCGTCCCACCTTTTGCGACGAGGGGATGGTTGGAACTTATTTTATTTCATAACGGTTCCATCTGTCACGAAATTGGTGATGGTGGGATTGAAGGGTGGGACGGATGAAACATTTTATTCTCACGTGGGGTAGAGCGGGGTGACGGTTGGGAATAATTTTTATTTGATACAAATGAGTGCAATACCTGATCAGAGTTGATGAGTTTCTTGTTGATAAGATAGAAGAGCGGAGCAGCTAAACCACTGAAGCTGCCGAAAGAATTGTGGCAGGATCTATACAAATATAATAATAAACACGTTAACACTTTCAAAGATAGAACAACGGTTATTTAAGAGATAACCTAACTTACTAAGAAAACGATTGATTTGTATTGTTGTATTTATTGAAATAACTCAAAAACTACTGGACCAGTTTCATAAATTCTTGCACCATTAAAAAGCTATGTTATTGCGTATACCATATATTATTTACTATTTTTGTATTCCACGCCTACGAAGTCGCGAACAACAGCTAGTAAATAACATGTTAAATTCCACTAAATCTGATTACAATTTTTTCCCTCCATTTAATTTTCGCTTGTCGCTTGATTAATTCAGAACAGATTGACGCTGTCGTTAACTACGTCAGAAGTAGCGGCATTTCCACATGCAAATGCGACCCATTGCGAGCATGTTCCTTCTAGACATTTGCATATTCACCGTAAAGGGACAGAAAAGCACTGAATCGTATTGTCTTTGAAAGCAGTCTAAAGTAGTATTTTATGCAGACTTGTATTCTTCATAGAATCATTGCTTTAGCGGTTTCAATAAATTGAATCGATTTACTAAAATCTTAAGAAGCCCTTGCTGTAAAGATTCAATTCAAAAAGAAGTTATTTTAGAAACCGCCGTTTTTAAATGTATCAATACATAACTCAAAAATTGCTGGACAGATTTCAAAAAATCATTCACCATTAAAAAGCTACGTTATCAGTAACATAGGCTATATTTTTTTTAATTTCACTCGGCGATGTCACTAGCAACAGTCAGTAATTAATAAAAATGTAAATAAATGAATGGACTATTATAAAATAGGTTTAAATTATTGTATGTGCTAATTTTATATGTAAAAGTAATCCCAGATAGGCCACAGGTTTTATCCGGCGCGCTGCGGGCGTTGTGTCAACCAAAACGCTTTTGCTATGCAAATATTCGTATAATGTCCTCACCGCACTGTAATGCTAATTTTATATGGAAGTTTGTACTACGTTGTGTACAAATATTTAGTTCTGATAGTAACTTTTCTTGTTTATGCTTCACAAATTTTAGGATACATTCTAAGGAGGATTAAATCAATAGTTTTAAATAGCGTGTAAAATTATCTAAAAGTATTTCAAAGGTTTTTTCTATACTATCAGCATAAAGAAGAAAATAAAACTAATTATAAGAGCTCTTTACTCTAAATCCTTCCTAAATTTATTTCGTCTATCGCCTAATATTAAAAATCATTTAAGCGCCCCCATTTTTATCATCATAGACTCTATTACTCAAAATTAGCATTAATACTGCGCCCCCACTTTTATTTGGGTTTCTAATAGCCCCCTTTTTGTCTTAATCGTACAGCGTAGAGACAGATAGAGCGTTACCGTCCACTTTGGGAGCCTGTAAAAGAGGAATAATTTACCGAAGACATATTTACCGTTTCCCTCTGAGGTCTTCAATTTTATTGACATTGGAGTCTTTCTTAACAACAGCGACGGCGTAGTTGGGAGTCTTCTTGTCGCCGTACACCTCGTGGAAGACGGGGTGCAAGTTGTACTGCTTGGAGGCGGAGGCCACTCTCATGTCGTCTACCGCGGCCAGGTCCGCCCCGTTGTCTTGCACCTGCAGAATTTCTTTATTGAACACTACTTTTATACTTTTAATCAAGGAGATAAATCTCGTAAATAAGGTTAAAGTTCGTCATAACTTATATTTGGGATCTATTTTACTACTTTAGTATTGTATTGGATGAGATTTTAACCAAAACCAAAAAAGAACCATACTATCTTACTTCAAATCGAATAAAAGATAGTTTAAATAATTCTGACGATATTTTCGGTTTCAGATTTCGAATTAATATAACTAATTAGCAACCCACCGTTTTGCTTCCATGAGCGTCGCCAGCCAATTATCTAGGCTATGTCTAAAGGGGACAGTTACTATGGAATTATTTGAAGTATATCTATTTTACATTTTTAACTCTAATTTTTACGACTTACACTCTTAAGACAGGCGTCTTCTGATTCCTCCTGAACGCAGTCAATCCTCGGTCTAATGTCTCTACTGAACGCGAACACCGACATCAGTCGGCACTTCTCTAACGCCAAGTACGTTGTGACGCACAATCTGCGATAAGTGAGGTTATGTTAGGTTAGGAATAATCATTACATTACTTTTTTATTTTAGTGCAGTTTATCTCATAAACACAATATATTGCAATTGAGTCTTTAATTAATAGTAAATGACTAATAGACTGTGAGACAAATAGAATAAAACATTTTATATTGACCCAAAAAAATAAAACTAAAAGAAAATAAATTCCTAAAATAACATTGTACAAAAATGGACAAAAGGTAGTTTAATATTTATAAAATTCTTTTTTAATTATGAATACCAAATTTGATTTAATCGCAATTGATTTTCTAGATACTTAAAAAAATATATAAATAAAATACCTGACTACCGGTTCCGGAGGGCCATGACCTCTTTCAATAACTTCTGTGTAGTTCGCCTTTTTCAAATAATCTGCCGGTTTGATTGGAATATTGTCGGCTACGTGGTGGATCTTCTCCGATAGTCCCAATACGTTGAGGAACCATTCAGGCTTGCTGCTTGCACCTTTTCAACAACTTATTAATAAAAAAACTAACGAAATACATTATCTTTGATTCTTGAGTTCGATCGGTATATGCAAAATAGATTATTAAACTTAGCTACTGGTAATATTAGTAATGAAAAAAGAATACAAATATATTAGTGCAATCTATACTATGCTATAATATTATTATAAAGAGGTTAGATTTCTATTTTTATATATATATTGAATTAACTCAAAAACCACTGGGCCGATTTCAACAATTCTTTCATCATTAAAAAGTTACATCAGCAGTGAGTAACACAGGCTATGTTATTTATTACTTTATTAATTTCACGAGGGCGAGTTCGCGAGCAATAGCTAGTATTTAATAAGATTTTCAGTAAATTCATGAGTAAGCGGTTGTAATCTTGGAATACTGTAAAATTAAAATAGAAAGAGTAATTAGGAGAGTTTAAGACTATTATTCAGCGCCATTCGCAGCGCTCGGGATGCAAATTGTACACTTGAAAGGGGATGGCTCTTCCGCATTTATTTTAAGATATTCAAATTTCGTAGACAATAGAATACAATTGAAATTATATTTTAATTCTTGTATAATTAGTTACTAAAATCTTTAGATTTGCTATGAATATTTATGAATTTACTACGAATACAATGATATTCAACAATTCTATTTAATAATTATCTAAACAATGGTAAAAAATATATGTTAAAACTTAAGTAATATTAGTAACTATTATTTGTTTTCCTCACGTAACTAACAAAGTTAGAAATTTCTATACTTCTGGTCTAGAGTAAAATTGATTAACATGTTTTGTACATATAAATCGTTACTTACCAGAATCAGCCAATTGCTTTATCTTTTCTCTCAGAGGTGTTAGTTTGGCGAGTACGTCCTGATGTCCTATCAATCCTTGCCAAGGTCTGGCTGCCCAGGTACAAGGTTTACCCCTGATCGGTACTTTAGACCCATCCACGCAGAGATACGCGAACTCGTCAGGGTTTTCTGGGGATTCCGAGGCGGGAGTTGTACCGACAGGGAGCTATGATATGAAAATTATTGTACAGTTTAGTGATTATAAATAGTGAGTTCTGTAGTCTTCTGATAAACGAGTAACTATTAT